GGTGACATGTCATCATAAGGTCCATAACATCAAAATATCTAACACCATTTGCATGCTCAACTGATGGAATGATACGAGGGTGTGATATAGTAAGATATCACTCTAAGTAACCATCCACACACTGGGTAGAGAACTAAACCTCCACTATATGATCTGTAATGAAACGAGCACAACTGACAACGTTACCCACAAACCATCTATTAATCCCCTCGGATGGAACAACAAGGATTAGCCGTGGGATGTCCTGGACATACCCAAACTCACACAAACACCTCTCAAGTAAGTGTCTAGCCACTAAGGCCTCCCATTGTATATAACCAGAAACGAGAAGTGTCATCAAATTCCTGATGCAGTTTATGGTCTGCGTAGGGTGTCCAGATGACATTGTTTATAGTCAATGCGTTAATCCTCTTCTTGTAATCCATAAGACTGTCTGGGCGTGCATGCTTGGTCTTCCATCTCTTGGCCCGTGTGGAGCCAATAGTGGTAGGAATAACCCGCCTCTAAAAAATGGTCTGGAAATGCTTGTATATCCGACACTGCCCAAGAACATAGGCAAATCAACAAATTTTATAAATAAGAACAAAATTAATAAGAAATAATAAATATTTATTCCTGAAATAGAGTCATATAAACAGTAAGAGGTCTAGTCTTAAAGACAATACACTCTCCAAGTGCAGCATATAGAATAATCAATGTAACACAACTCTGTGCCCAATTGACATAGTCAAGGCTACTGAACAACTACATGTACCTCACATCAATATATACATGAGACTTATCTGCTAAGATAGTACATCATACAAGATGTAACATGTATAACCTAGAGTCTGCCTCATACATATACTCCCCCACCATCTTCATATACCTATCTAGAAGCCAAGATAGGAAAAAGTGAGCACTATGTTAAACCTAAACTCCTCTCTCACCTCAACCTCAATAACCCCCAAGTCCTACGTAGTAGTAATACATGCAAACTTCTGGTTAATGAGAGGAGCGATGAAGAAACTGCATGGCAGGGCGAGATGGAACAAAGTGGAGATGTCATCCAAGGTAATAATCACCTCTCCAAATAAAAGATGAAAGGAAGATGCCTCCTTATGCCATCACTTAACAAAGGTTTACAATAGTGTGACACCGAGCATGGTCAACGAACAGTCCACCAATGAAAGGATAATGCAATCATCGACAATCCCCTTGACCTCTCGTGGCATCAGGACATTTAAGAACTTTTTCAGCTTTGCCTCGTAGGTGGGCACCATCAGCGACAGTCGATCGTGTAACAAGCAAAGTAAAAAAACATTAATTACATGCAACATATCAATAGTAAATACAATCAAGTTCAAAATAACATATATAGACCTCTCCCTACCATAATCTTAGTGTCACATAACCACAAAATCTAGTGAGCACAAAATAGTCATTGGGCTCTACAGGCTCCATCAGTATGTACAAACGACTCTGTCGAAGTAGGAGCAGTCGCCTCCATATTAGCCGGAGGAGTAACTTCCATATCACCCATAACAGACGCATCCATATCCTCTAGAGCAGTAGCCTTTGTATCCGCTGGAGGATTCACCTCTATATCAACTTGAGGAGTCACCTCCATATAAGCCAAGGCCTCTGTATCATCTGATGGGTCGCCTCTGTCTCAAACACCATCTGCCTATCATCCTGACCGTCTACATCCGCAACTATTGTTTGGGCATAGTAAACAATCGCAATAACGGGCTCATCAATAAGATTACAAGTTCATCCATCACCTCTAACTCCTCTACATTTGATATTACTGGGTACGTGAGCCTGCTCAGCCATCCGCCTCCAATGAAAACTGGTAAGGGTTACTCCCACACCCGAATATATGAGTATTCACTCTCGTATGCCCTTGCACAAGCCATCATTGCAGCTTTATCATATTGGCTAAAAGCAATCATCATGTCTGATCCTCTAGTTCTCATTGGAAAAAAAGAGATGAAATATGAACTAGCGAATATTTTAAAAATCTGGAAATCAACATAGTTTTCCCAGTTTTTTTTTAAATACCCAGTTAACCATCTGAAAATTTTTCTTCTATTGATTTTTTCAAAAAAAACTCAGTATGCCTTTATGCAATTTCATTGTATTTTTCAAAATAATCAGTAAAAATACATGCAATTTTATCTATTTTTTCATAATATCCGATAAAACACATGCATTTTTACCGAAATTTTCAAAGTATCCGGTAAAAATGCATGATAGACATGAGATTTTATCGAACATTAAAAAAATGCCAATAAAATGCTTTTTTTTTTGTTGAAAAATCCAGTATAAAACTAATTGTGTCAGTAAAGTGGTATACTTGAAAAAATTCGATCGTTGGTTTGAAAAATTCGACAAGATGCACAACTTTTTAAAAAATACGAAATGTTACAAATGAATAATGAAATGAAGTTTTAACATGTAAGGGTAGTATAGTAAAAACCCAATATTTAAAGGGTGTCAGATTTAAGTGTGAGAATGACTGATAGATACGAGAATAAGCTAAACTGGCCTAACAGGACCTATAGCGTGACCTAGTTAAAGTCTAAGGTAGCCAATTTAAAAAAAATGCTAGACTTATGCTTTTTTAAAAACCTATTTAATTAAATATGTCAGACTTAGACTATTAAAAAACATATGAAGTCTTATAGATCAACCTATATATGAATATATATTAGAAAATAAGTTAAATAAGTTGACCTCTATAACCTACAATAATTTTTTAAGGTTTGAGTCTGACCTATAATTTATTATAAATTTTTTTTATTTGGTTTGATCTAATATATATATATATATATATATATATATATATATATATATATATATATATATATATATATATATATATATATATATATATATATATATATATATATATATATATATATATATATATATATATATATAAGTTAAATATGTATATAAGCTGAGATATAAGATTTCATAGGTTAAATGAACTATTTGAAAGTCTTAATATAAAACAGTTTTTAAAATAGGTTTTTAGATCAAACCAAATAAAAAAATTTTATAATAAATTATAGGTCGGACTCAAATCTTAAAAATTTATTGTAGGTCAGACTCAAATCTGTAACTTATTTCCAACCCCATCTAATAATTCCGCACTAAATAGAGGTCCATTTAATTTATCAACAGTGTCAGTGGCATAATTTGAAGTTGTAATACACAGGTAGATAATAGAAATAGAAATACACATCGTTTATTTCTATTGATCAAAACTAACTAATACTTTTCACAACTTATCCTTTATTTTCCTATATCTTTACTCATGCATTGACTAATTTAATATAAAAAAGTTCAAGTTATGTGAACTGGAGGTGAATAGTGCAGTTGAATTTGTTTGAGGTGGTTCATAAGGTGGAGTTGAAGATGAATCTAAAGTAGTTAAATTAAAAGAACATGAGACACGAAGGGATAAAAGAATTAATTACTACTTATTTTATTTCTCTTGCTCAAAGGCACAAAATCTTCCGAATTTTCTTGTTTTTCAGTGCTAAGATAAGAGATTACAATAGGTTACAAAATAGTTTTTGTTTGCTTTCTCTTTTTCCTTTTATGGTACTCATTAAATGGTGCACGAGAAGTGGAAACTGAGGCATTTTGTTAGGATGCTAAAGATAAACTTTAACAAATCTAAAGAATGTCAAAGAAATATAAATAAAACTAGTTAATAAAATAAAGATATTTTTATTTATTTCTTCCTCTTTTATCTCTGAGTGAGAGAACATATATAATATTACTAATGGATAATAGAATAAAGATTTAATGACTAAAAATTCAACTAAACAATAAAAGCCCAATTAATATAAATTCTACTTCTAACTTTAAGGGTGTGTTTGGTTCGGGGTAGATGGAGGGGAGGGGAGGAGAAATTTTTAATTAAATATGTTTGGTTCAAATCTTAGGAGGGGAGAGGAGCAAAATTCCTCCAAAACACACTTCTTGGTTCCCTCCGAATTGGGGAGATTTGGAGGGGAAGGGAGAGAATATGAGTTTTGATATTTAAAAATTATTATATTTACTAAAATATCCTCAGTTTAATTTCAGTATTTCAAAACTATTCGTTTTCTTTCGTGTTACAGTTTTTTCTCGATTGTTTCTATCATATTTTCTTTTATATCAAATTGTAAACCATTCATTTTATTTATTTTTGCTTATTCATTTTATTAAATATTTTGAACCATTACTATTTAATAATCAGTTATTTTATATATTTGTTTTGTTATATGATTTATCACAATTTAAACGATGTTATTTGGTATATAGTTTAATTTATGTTGGAAAGTTATAAGTCGAATCAATTGTACTCAATTTTTTAACTTTATGTGACAAATAAATATTTTTTTAATCACTCAATATTAGAAATTTTATTACCAACAAAAATACGCATGAATTTTTCACATTTTAATATCATATGACTTATATAAGATCATAAGGATAAAATTGTAAATTATTAATAAAACTCCTCCCCTCCCCTTCTGAACCAAACATATTTTTAATTAAAATCTCTCCCTTCCCCTCCCCTCCTTTCTTTTGAACCAAACACTTATCTGATTAAAAAAAAATTCTTCACCTCCCCTCCCCTCCCCTTCCCTTCATTAAAATCCCTCCCCTCCTCTCCCCCTCATTTGAACCAAACAGACCCTAATAATTAAATTGCCTAAAATTAACTTCATGATCGTATCATTTCTCACCCCTTAAAAGACAACCTTGTCCTCAAGGTTGAAACATAATTGTTGAGAGAAATATTCACTGTACCATACAAAACCTTCTCTCTTCTTAAACAACATGTCCATGTGAAATAAGAAAGCAACATGCTTTTTCAATCCAAACTTGGCCATAAGAAGTGTTATATGATTGTTGAATTTCTCGCTATTATGGTTCATTTCAATTATTTCAAATTCAAGCTCAGCAAGTGGCATCTCTCTTTCCTCCAAATACGTATCCAATTTTCCACCAGAATCTCATTGTTGATGTCTCTCAATTCTAAAAATTAACATTGATTCCTTATGCACTCTTTTACTCAATTCTTCCATGATGGCAATATAAATTTCCTCAACACTACCTAAGTTCTCCCGTTGAGCTTGAATTGAGGATTTTCTTCCTAAAAAGTATGATATCAATTCAATAGAATCCTTCGCTCCGCTTGGAGCCAATACATTGTTCCTGAATTGCATGTCGAGAAGCTGATTTGAAACACCATTGCAAAATATTGAAGCTAATATATCAACAACAAAAACCTCGCTCCATATATGACTGTAGCATGCTGCCTCATAACCTACGACACTAAAAGGAAAACATGAGGTGGGTTTGGTTCCTTCTAATACCGGCAACCCTTAACATCACCTTGGACTGAAGATGCTTGAATAACTCGCAAATATCTATGTTATCCGCATAATGTATGATTTGGTAAAAAAAAGACAGTATAAAATGTCTTGCTTCAATTTAAGCGCCAATGAAAAATTTCTCCATCTTTTAATTGATTTGCATAGGTCATCCTTTAAGGGATTTGTGATATCCTGGTGAAATCCAGATATCAACTTCAAGAAAAAAATTTCATAAAAGCAGTTTTGTAAGAGTTGAGCAGGTATTTCTACGAAGTCAGGATCAACGTATGCCAGAAGCTCTGGAAAATGAAGCACGGTTGCAAATGTGTTGAACCACATGACCAAACCCGTTGAAAATATTGACCACTTTTAAAAACCACAATAATTCAGGACTGCAGTCAGAATCCTTTTGATACTGAGATATTAGTAATGCAACTGGAATCTGTCGTGACCCACTGGTTGTTAATGCACTATTTTGGAGAGGCACCACACAACTGTAAGCATATTTTCCTTCTCTTGAGAATAAATCAAGGTAGAAATAACCCAAGAGTTCACTTGAACTTAAGTAAAATACTGAAAATACACGAACATCAAAATGCCAAACTTCGGCTCTCACAATTTCTTCAAACCTTAAACCAAATTAGATCTTGGACAATTTTGAAGATTTCCGATAGAACTAAACTAATTGGTAAGTATTGCTTGATCTCGACAAAGTCCAAATCATAACTCTACTCTTCAACCCGTTTTACATAATACACCAGGTCTTCAATTCCAAATGGAAGCTCCCCTTCCTCTTTTTGCTTCAAATATTTCAAGATATCAAGTTCTTTCATATCCAAGTGAGTTATATGTATGGATATGTCATTTAGAAACTCAAACACCTTTGTTGGTGTTTTTGATCTTCTAACATCAAACACATACTCTGCATAACACGAATAGCCAAGTAAACGAGCATATTTATGACGGTGTTGCACCAGACTTTCTAAAATATAAATATTGGCTTCTCCCCGTCGATTTCCATACGCTCGTGATACCATCGTTCTTGTAGTTCCTACCTTGCAAAATTCGAGTACAGCTGTGACGTGATGGCTGCTCAAGGAGATATTTGTCGCTACTCGAAAAATACGCGCAACAACGGGGAAGGCGAAAAGGAAAAGGACAGAAGAGTCGCCACCGAACTTTATTTATCCCATGAGGGGAAAGGAAAATATCGAGAAAACCTTAAGAAAAGGACGGATAAGATGGTCTCGCAACCATGAACGGGTTCGGAAGCCGGTTATGCGAAGGGAAGGTATTAGCACCCTCACATCCATCGTACTCGATGGGAACCATTTGTTTGTCGTGTGTGATTTATTTGCTAAAAGATTATGCTATAAAAGTGTGTTCCTAGGGAGAGAGAAGGAGGGATAACGGGGAAGAAAAGAAAGAAAAGACTCTGTAGGACTTCACGGTCCTAGGCTTGCGTATTCTCAACGGATATGAGAAAATCAGAGTCGACGTAGTTCGGGAAACTACTGATATGTGGGATTGTGCTCGCCAAGACATCGATGTCTTGTGCCTACGTATCCTCATCTGGTATGAGAAATCAGAGCAGCCGTAGTTCGGCCTATGATTTGTTGATGTTTTTATAGATGATGCTATCGTACGCATTCTAGCAGTTAGGTGTATTGCTGCTCGCTCGTTGGAGACTTAGGCATTACCTATTTGCGGTAGAACGGACGTATCATATCCTTTTCGAAAGATAAGTTTTCGCCATGCGAGGCAAGATGTCACATTTGATTTGTTGAATTGTTTTTTAGGGGCGAGATAGGTCCTCGGATAGTAACCCCTACGGGTAGTACCCAATTTTTCATCTCAAAGTTTTTGTTATGAAAGGGTGTGGCGAACATAGCGTCTTCGTATTGAAAGACGAGTATCAAAACCACACACACTACAGTGAGCATCTCGACACTCGGAGAGGAAGAAGTCTACACTTAATCCTCTCTCTTTAGTTCAATACAAAGAGAACTTCATTCTCTTATTAAAGTGTTTTTGGTTTTGAATGGTAAGTGCTTTTGCGACAGAGAACCCTACTGTAAACGTCAGCACTCGGGATAGGAGAAGGCCTACGCCTAACCACTCCACGACCATTCGAGTTTTTGTTATGAAAAGAGTTTAAAAATGTGCTCGGTACGGGACCGAGGTTTTTAGGTGACAAAGGTTGTGGAAAGAAGTTGTAGAGGGAGATAGGTGGTGGATAAAGTCATGTCTTCGTATTGAAAGACGAGTATCGAGACCACCCACACTACAGTGAATATCCCAACACTCGGAGAGGAAGAAGTCTACACTCAATCCTCTCTCTTTAGTTCAATACAAAGAGAATCGATTTATTTATTGTAAGTGTTTTGAAAATGCACTCGGTACGGGGCCGAGGTTTTTTAGGAGAAAAAGGTGTGGATGAAAACATCTTCGTATTGAAAGACGAGTATCAAAACCACCCACACTACAGTGAGCATCTCGACACTCGGATAGGAAGAAGTCTACACTTAATCCTCTCTCTTTAGTTCAATACAAAGAGAACTTCATTCTCTTATTAAAGTATTTTTGGTTTTGAATGGTAAGTGCTTTTGCGACAGAGAACCCTACGGTAAACGTCAGCACTCGGGATAGGAGAAGGCCTACGCCTAACCACTCCACGACCATTCGAGTTTTTGTTATGAAAAGAGTTTAAAAATGCGCTCGGTACGGGACCGAGGTTTTTAGGTGACAAAGGTTGCGGAAAGAAGTTGTAGAGGGAGATAGGTGGCGGATAAAGTCATGTCTTCGTATTGAAAGACGAGTATCGAGACCACCCACACTACAGTAAATATCCCAACACTCGGAGAGGAAGAAGTCTACACTCAATCCTCTCTCTTTAGTTCAATACAAAGAGAATCAATTTATTTATTGTAAGTGTTTTGAAAATGCACTCGGTACGGGGCCGAGGTTTTTTAGGAGAAAAAGGTGTGGATGAAAACATCTTCGTATTTAAAGACGAGTATCAAAACCACCCACACTACAGTGAGCATCTCGACACTCGGAGAGGAAGAAGTCTACACTTAATCCTCTCTCTTTAGTTCAATACAAAGTGAACTTTATCCTTTTGTTAAATATGGTGAGTTGGTTTAACCATTATTTGAGAAAATCCGCTTGACGTTGGGTCAAGGGTTTTAGTTGCTTAAAAAGATTTGAGGTGAAGCGAGCAAGGTCGACGGCGACGCACAAGGCAATCGGCTTACAAGGTCAAAAGTGGCTCGATGAGAATCGAGAGTTTGTTTTCTTGAAAATAGTTTTTAGAACCAAAGGTCAAAAATGACCAACAATAAACATGCACAAAAACCAAACAATCATAACGGGTTAACCGGCTTAAAAAAAAACAAAACACAAAAAAAACGGCACATCAAGGAGTTCGCCGTGCGAACTCCTTGAGAAAATTGTTTTTGAGGTGAAAAAGTAAAAAAAACGTGAAAAACAGGGGTCTAACACGGGCGGCCGTGTTGTGTGACACGGCCCGTGTCACAGTTCCAGGAAAAAAATGAGTTTTGAGTCAAACAGCGGTGTGACACGGCCGCCCGTGTTGCATGACACGGCCCATGTCATAAGGTCTGGGAGAAAAATGATTTTTATGGCAAACAAATGTGTGACACGGGTGGCCGTGTTGTGTGACACGGCCCGTGTCAGGGGTCATGGGAATTTTACACATTTGAAACCTCAAACAGAGGTACAACACGGGTGGCTGTGTTGTGTGACACGGCCCGTGTCATGAGTCCTGGACATTTTGTACTTTGAAAAGTCACACAGAGATGCAACACGGCCCGTGTCAGGCTACCAGATGAAAAATCCAAACTTTTCTCTTGTTTTTTGCTTCTTTTTGTGGTTCTTAAAAATGGTTTCTTGGTCCCTTTGGAATCTTACATGTTATACTCAATACAACAACACTCAAACCAAGAGAACAAATGATAAATGCACAATATAAAAGAAGAGAAGAGTTTGAAGAGATGGATACCCAAGAGTTGTTACCCTCCTTGCAAAGCCTCCACTGATTTTGGCTAGGTGTTCAATCCTCTTCACTCTATGCTTTGATGACTCTCCTCAATGGCTCCCTTGTGTTTCTCTTTTACTCTCTTCACTTTTTGCTAGTTTTTTGCTCTCTCTATTTTTTCTGGTTTTCTCTCTTACTCTTTTCTCTCAATCTCTCTATCTCAATCTGTTGCGAATGATAGTGAATGATAGTTAATGATCTTTTGTTTGCAGCTCCTTCCCTCCTTATCTCACTTTTTCTGCTGTACCAAAACCACAGCTCTTGCATACTTCTCCATTTTCAGAATTTCCATTCTTGACAATATCTTTTACCACCTTTTGGTGCAGCCCCACTTTCCTTCCATTTCTAGTATGTTTTTTGCTGTATTTTCTTCTGCAGCACTCTACCTTTCTATTCACCCTTGTACCCATTGGTTGGTTGATTTGTTTGGACATACCCATGTAGTCAATACACTACCTTTTGGACATCATTTTCAAATTCTGATTTTTGATGTGTAGATGTATCAACATAAGCTTATAGCCTTAGTTTTGTGACATAAAATGATTTTGTAATATGATAAACATTGCCACTTCTTGCATGGGGCTGTTTTGGACCATATTCAAATTGCCCATGAATGTATGCATAGCCTTGATCTTGAGATATTCCAAGATTGAATTAGCTCTTAAATATTTTCCTTGCATGTTTGTAAGCACAAAGAGGACCATGTGGACTTGATGAGGCATGGGGGATACCATGGCATGAAGTTATTTTTAGAAACTTGAATTAAGACTAGAAATAGCTTAATTTCCTAAGCATTACCAAGAGTTTGGATTTTGTAACAAATGTGACATCCTTGCAAATGTCATGAAATTTTTCTTTGTAATATTCTTGAATCTAGCCTCAAATTCATGGACCTTGAATTTGGAATGATGGGTCTCCCTTATGTCATTGAATTTGAAAGAAATGAAGAAATGAGTCAAGCCTTGAAAGAGGGCAAATTTTGGGGTGCAACAATATCCAACAGTCCTTTTTCAGATTTATCTAAACCCTTGAGAAATTCTAGAGGTAATCCAGCTAACTCTGCCTCATTGAAGGGAAGAAATGCGCGAGCATCATTGAGATTTTGGATATATATATATATATATATATATATATATATATATATATATATATATATATATATATATATATATATATATATATATATATATATATATATATATATATATATATATATATATATATATATATATATATATATATATATATATATATATATATATATATATATATATATATA